AGAAGGCGCGGCCCCCGGGTCCGGTCGTCAGGGGAAGAAAACGGAAGAGGGAGAGAATGATATCGAGCGAGAGAGAGAGAGAGAGAGAGAGACAGAGAGAGAGGGAGAGAGGGAGAGACCGAGAGAGAGAGGGAGAGAGAGAGAGAGAGAGAGAGATTCCTGCGCTCACGTGTGGCGTCTGAGGGCGTCTGCTAGCACACCCTCGGGGGCTAGAGGTGTGTACAGCGTGTGGCAGGGCATGCGCCAGCAGTACCCCGTAGGGCCCGGGGGGGGGGGGGGGCGGTCTCGCGCAGACCAGTCCCGCCGTCTGCCCCGTGTGGGCCACAGCGAACAGCGCCTCGTGCGACCGCCTCTCGGCCGCCTCTCGGCCGCCTCTCGGCGGTCTCTCGGCCGCCTCTCGGCCGTCTCTCGGCCGCCTCTTGGCGGTCTCTCGGCGATCTCTCGGCGATCTCTCGGCGGTCTCTCGGCGATCTCTCGGCGGTCTCTCGGCAATCTCTCGGCAATCTCTCGGCAATCTCTCGGCAATCTCTCGGCAATCTCTCGGCAATCTCTCGGCAATCTCTCGGCAATCTCTCGGCAATCTCTCGGCGGTCTCTCGGCGGTCTCTCGGCTCTCTCTCGGCGGTCTCTCGGCGGTCTCTCGCCTCGGCGGACAGCGTCTCGTACGCCTGGTCCTCCCCGTGGTAGCCGGGCAGCAGCGGCACGCCCGCCGCCTCCATCAGCCGCTTGGCCGCGTCCTACACAAGCGGGGGGCGTCCGGGAAGAGGGTCGGAGGGGGCGGCCGCTCCCGCGCCCTCGCCGCGCGGACACAGGCTGCTGCTCCTTGGAGCCCATCGCGCGCATGGAGGAGCCGGGCGGGCCGATGAAGGACAGGCCCGCCGCCGCAACCTGCGGGAGGGGGGGGGCGGGGGGGCGGGGGGCGGGGGGGGTGGGGGCGGGGGGGGGGGAGGGGTGGAGGGAGAGGGAGAGAGGGAGAGAAATGCGCCTCGAGCGCAGCGAGGTCGAGTGGAAGGCGTGCGGCTCGACCTGCTCGCGCGCGAGCGTCTCGCGGACCTAATCTCGGGCGATCTCGGGCGATCTCGGGAGATCACGGGTGATCTCGCGTGATCTCGGGTGATCTCGGACACTCTCGGGCGTTCTCCGTGTTCACGGCGCATGTCGGGTAATCTCGGGCAATCTCGAGTCGCCTCGCATGCAGATGGGCGATCTCGGTGTTAACGGGCGCGCATCGTAAGAGCATCAGTCAATCTCGGGCGATCTCGGTTGATCTCGGGCGATCTCTGCGAGCAAGAATCATGCCTCTCAGTCATCTCGTAAATCTCACTCTCTCGAGTCACCTCGCGCGCCGCGTGGTCGCCGTCCTGGCACTCCTCCGCGCCGGCACAGACCTCCTGGCAGGGGGGGGAGGGGGGTGGGTGGGGGGGAGCGGTGGCAATGTGAGCGTTGTGTCGGTGGGTGGCGGTGGCGGTGGCGAGGGTGGCGGAGGGAAGGGAGGAGGCCGCGGCGGCGGCGGGGCGGCGGCGCGCACCGGTGGTGTCGGCGATCGGCTCGCGCACCGGTGGTGTCGCATCGACGACGCGCACACCCTGGCCGACCCGCCTCCGGCCGCACCTCCCAGCAACGCGCTCTCCGCAGCGCCCGACACGCCGCCGCGCCGTCGAGCGCAGCCGCCGGCGAAACGACCGCCGGCCGCTCACCCCGCCTATGGGAAGAGGCGCGGGCGGCGTCGGACGCGATCCGAGTGTGCGGTGGCACGGTGAGGGCCGGGCGATGGGCGGCAGTGCCGCAGGGCAGCGGCGGCGCTGCGCAGGCGAGCGGCAGCGGCGGGCGTCGGCGCTGTCCTCGGCGCGGCCCGAGCGGCCCGCGGCGCTGTGCGCCGAGGCACCGGCCGCGGCCGGGGCACGTGCGTCGGGGAAACGACGCACCCGCTTCAGCGGCGGCCGACCAGGCAGCATTCTGCCGCAGAGTCGGCTCCGTCCGGTAAGAAGAATTCGGGCGGAAGGCGGCCTCTTTGTATGTTTTTTCCTTTTGGGGCATTGAAGAGTTTGTGCCTGTGTGTGGTCCGACGCGGTGCCCCTTTTTGTTCTTGGTTTCCCACACAGCTGGGCTTCGCGGGCTTCCAGCCAGGGTACGGCGGTTCTGACTGAAAGGCGGCGCCGGCGGGCGTTCGCGCCAAAATAGATGCAAACCAACCGCGGTTGGTTTGCATCTATTTTGGCGCCGGCGGGCGTTCGCGCCAAAATAGATGCAAACCTACCGCGGTAGGTTTGCATCTTGTGAAAAAGAAACCCATAATCATGATGAGCCCCAAACCGGGGGGATGTATTGTTCTCCCTGGCGTGCGCGAGTCGCTCGTCCTAGGGAGCGAACTAGTGCGAGTCACTAGTGTACTCGAATGCAAGCGAAGGGTAGCTCTCGTCTGCTGCTGCTGCTGCTGCTGCTGCTGCTGTTGCTCTCGCTACTGCTGTTGCTGTTGAAGCTGCTGTCTAGTCGCTATGCAATTGTCGCTGTCTGTTAGCTACGGTTGCTGTGCTAACGTGCGCATCGTGTTCACGCACACCGCACCACTTTCCGCCCCCGAAGGATAGGAGTGGTGCATTCGGGTGCGCATCGTGTTCACGCACGTGTGTGTGCTACCGCAGAGTGGCCTGGAGGCGACAGATTGCTTCGTAGAAGCGCTCCTATGCCTTGTCCCCGGGAGGTGTCGCAGCGTGCGAGCGGTCGTCGTCGCTCCGAGCTGGCCAAGCGTATTGGCGGGTCGCCTCACGCTTGACCTGCTGGAGTACCGCTCGCACGCCGCCCCGGGGTGGCGGGGTGGTGGTCCCTGCGAGACCACCAGACGCCGTGACTCACGGGAGGGGCAGCCAAGCCCTCCACGTGCTCCACGACGCCACCCGCCTACTAGCGTTTCGTGTGAGCTACGGGCGGCGTGCAGGCTCGCTGAGCGCATCTCGCTGAGGCAGCTGTGAACGCACGCGGCTGAGCGAGCTCGGCAGAGCGATTGTCTCATCTCTTGAGCGAAATTGCGATCTCGCCATCGTGCCATGCAGCGGCACAAGTCGAGCTGTGAACACGCGGTGTGAATGAGCTCGGCAGCGAGATTGTCTCATCTCTTGAGCGAGATTGTGATCTCGCGATATGAACGAGATTGTGATCTCGCGCTAGCGCTCGCGATGGGCCTTGCCATGTATCGATCACATGGCGAGCTCGGCAGAGAGAGTGTCTCACCTCTTGAGCGAGAGATTAGCATCTCGCTATAGTGCCATGCAGCGGCACAAGTCGAGCTGTGAACACGCGGTGTGAACGAGCTCGGCAGGGAGATTGTCTCATCTCTGGAGCGAGAGATTAGCATCTCGGGATAGTGCCATGCATCTCTTGAGCGAGAGATTGGCATCTCGCTATAGTGCCATGCAGCGGCACAAGTCGAGCTATGAACACGCGGTGTGAACGAGCTCGGCAGGGAGATTGTCTCATCTCTTGAGCGAGAGATAAGCATCTCGCTATAGTGCCATGCAGCGGCACAAGTCGAGCTGTGAACACGCGGTGTGAACGAGCTCGGCAGGGAGATTGTCTCATCTCTGGAGCGAGAGATTAGCATCTCGGGATAGTGCCATGCATCTCTTGAGCGAGAGATTGGCATCTCGCTATAGTGCCATGCGGCGGCACAAGTCGAGCTGTGAACACGCGGTGTGAGTGAACGAGCTCGGCAGGGAGATTGTCTCATCTCTTGAGCGAGAGATTCGCATCTCGCTATAGTGCCATGCAGCGGCACAAGTCGAGCTGTGAACACGCGGTGTGAACGGGCTCGGCAGGGAGATTGTCTCATCTCTTTGAGCGAGAGATTAGCAGCTCGCTATAGTGCCATGCAGCGGCACAAGTTGAGCTGTGAGCACGCGGTGTGAACGAGCTCGGCAGGGAGATCGTCTCATCTCTTGAGCGAGAGATTAGCACCTCGCTTAGTGCCATGCAGCGGCACAAGTCGAGCTGTGAACACGCGGTGTGAACGAGCTCGGCAGGGAGATTGTCTCATCTCTGAAGCGAGAGATTAGCATCTCGCTATAGTGCCATGCAGCGGCACAAGTCGAGCCGTGAACACGCGGTGTGAACGAGCTCGGCAGGGAGATTGTCTCTTCTCTTGAGCGAGAGATTAGCATCTCGCTATAGTGCCATGCAGCGGCACAAGTTGAGCTGTGAACACGCGGTGTGAACGAGCTCGGCAGGGAGATTGTCTCATCTCTTGAGCGAGAGATTAGCATTTCGCTATAGTGCCATGCAGCGGCACAAGTCGAGCTGTGAACACGCGGTGTGAACGAGCTCGGCAGGGAGATTGTCTCATCTCTTGAGCGAGAGATTAGCATCTCGCTAGAGTGCCATGCAGCGGCACAAGTCGAGCTGTGAACACGCGGTGTGAACGAGCTCGGCGGGGAGATTGTCTCATCTCTTGAGCGAGAGATTAGCATCTCGCTATAGTGCCATGCAGCGGCACAAGTCGAGCTGTGAACACGCGGTGTGAACGAGCTCGGCGGGGAGATTGTCTCATCTCTGGAGCGAGAGATTAGCATCTCGCTATAGTGCCATGCAGCGGCACAAGTCGAGCTGTGAACACGCGGTGTGAACGAGCTCGGCAGGGAGATTGTCTCATCTCTTGAGCGAGAGATTAGCATCTCGCTATAGTGCCATGCAGCGGCACAAGTCGAGCTGTGAACACGCGGTGTGAACGAGCTCGGCAGGGAGATTGTCTCATCTCTGGAGCGAGAGATTAGCACCTCGCTATAGTGCCATGCAGCGGCACAAGTTGAGCAGTGAACACGCGGTGTGAGCTCGGCAGGGAGATTGTCTCATCTCTTGAGCGAGAGATTAGCATCTCGCTATAGTGCCATGCAGCGGCACAAGTCGAGCTGTGAACACGCGGCGTGAACGAGCTCGGCAGGGAGATTGTCTCATCTCTGGAGCGAGAGATTAGCACCTCGCTATAGTGCCATGCAGCGGCACAAGTGGAGCCGTGAACACGCGGTGTGAACGAGCTCGGCAGGGAGATTGTCTCATCTCTGGAGCGAGAGATTAGCATCTCGCTATAGTGCCATGCAGCGGCACAAGTCGAGCTGTGAACACGCGGTGTGAACGAGCTCGGCGGGGAGATTGTCTCATCTCTGGAGCGAGAGATTAGCATCTCGCTATAGTGCCATGCAGCGGCACAAGTCGAGCTGTGAACACGCGGTGTGAACGAGCTCGGCGGGGAGATTGTCTCATCTCTTGAGCGAGAGATTAGCATCTCGCTATAGTGCCATGCAGCGGCACAAGTCGAGCTGTGAACACGCGGTGTGAACGAGCTCGGCGGGGAGATTGTCTCATCTCTTGAGCGAGAGATTAGCATCTCGCTATAGTGCCATGCAGCGGCACAAGTCGAGCTGTGAACACGCGGTGTGAACGAGCTCGGCGGGGAGATTGTCTCATCTCTTGAGCGAGAGATTAGCATCTCGCTAGAGTGCCATGCAGCGGCACAAGTCGAGCTGTGAACACGCGGTGTGAACGAGCTCGGCAGGGAGATTGTCTCATCTCTGGAGCGAGAGATAAGCATCTCGCTATAGTGCCATGCAGCGGCACAAGTTGAGCTGTGAACACGCGGTGTGAACGAGCTCGGCAGGGAGATTGTCTCATCTCTGGAGCGAGAGACTAGCATCTCGCTAGTGCCATGCAGCGGCACAAGTCGAGCTGTGAACACGCGGTGTGAACGAGCTCGGCAGGGAGATTGTCTCATCTCTTGAGAGAGAGATCAGCATCTCGCTATAGTGCCATGCAGCGGCACAAGTCGAGCTGTGAACACGCGGTGTGAACGAGCTCGGAAGGGAGATTGTCTCATCTCTTGAGCGAGAGATTAGCATCTCGCTATAGTGCCATGCAGCGGCACAAGTCGAGCTGTGAACACGCGGTGTGCACGAGCTCGGCGGGGAGATTGTCTCATCTCTTGAGCGAGAGATTAGCATCTCGGTATAGTGCCATGCATCGGTCTTGGGCGAGAGCTTGAGCGAGAGATTAGCATCTCGCTATAGTGCCATGCAGCGGCACAAGTCGAGCTGTGAACACGCGGTGTGAACGAGCTCGGCAGGGAGATTGTCTCATCTCTGGAGCGAGAGATTAGCATCTCGCTATAGTGCTATGCAGCGGCACAAGTTGAGCTGTGAACACGCGGTGTGAACGAGCTCGGCAGGGAGATTGTCTCATCTCTTGAGCGAGAGATTAGCATCTCGCTATAGTGCCATGCAGCGGCACAAGTCGAGCCGTGAACACGCGGTGTGAACGAGCTCGGCAGGGAGATTGTCTCATCTCTTGAGCGAGAGATAAGCATCTCGCTATAGTGCCATGCAGCGGCACAAGTCGAGCTGTGAACACGCGGTGTGAACGAGCTCGGCAGGGAGATTGTCTCATCTCTTGAGCGAGAGATTAGCATCTCGCTATAGTGCCATGCAGCGGCGCAAGTCGAGCTGTGAACACGCGGTGTGAACGAGCTCGGCAGGGAGATTGTCTCATCTCTGGAGCGAGAGATTAGCATCTCGCTATAGCGCCATGCAGCGGCACAAGTCGAGCTGTGAACACGCGGTGTGAACGAGCTCGGCAGGGAGATTGTCTCATCTCTTGAGCGAGAGATTAGCATCTCGCTATAGGGCCATGCAGCGGCACAAGTCGAGCTGTGAACACGCGGTGTGAACGAGCTCGGCAGGGAGATTGTCTCATCTCTGGAGCGAGAGATTAGCATCTCGCTATAGGGCCATGCAGCGGCACAAGTCGAGCTGTGAACACGCGGTGTGAACGAGCTCGGCAGGGAGATTGTCTCATCTCTGGAGCGAGAGATTAGCATCTCGCTATAGTGCCATGCAGTGGCACAAGTCGAGCTGTGAACACGCGGTGTGAACGAGCTCGGCGGGGAGATTGTCTCATCTCTTGAGCGAGAGATTAGCATCTCGCTATAGTGCCATGCAGTGGCACAAGTCGAGCTGTGCGCGCAATGGCTCTCAGCCGCCGCCCGCAACGGGTCGGGTGTGTCGCACTTGCCGCTCGGCAGCGGTGGCTAAGGCAGTTAGACCGTGTATCATACACACGGTGTCACACGCTTTTACACCCGCAACGGGTACACAGCCGTGTATTGGACTTGCCGCTCGGCAGCGGTGGCTGACGCCGCTGGCCCATGTATCACTCACATGGTGTTGCACACATGTATCAGTCACATGGTGTCACACGTCGCACACGCCATCCGCAGCGGAGGCTAGCGCCTCTAACCATGTATCAGTCACATGGTGAGATCGCATCGGGCTCGCAATTCGGCAGATCGCTGAGACAACGAGGTCGCGCGGGCTGGCGGGGCTGGGGCGCGGGCGAGCGGGCTCTTCGCGGCGTGGGCCAGCTGCAGGCAGCGCGCCGGCTATGCATGCTGGGCCCGAAGGGGCCTGCCCAACCACCTACGGTTCGCAGGGTGTGGCGGGAGGGGCGAATCGTGCAGTGTGAGCGAGCGAGCAAACGCAGCGGGGCAGTGTGCATCGCTCGCGAGCAAGGAGATCGGCGATCGACTTTGTGAAAGCCGAGCACGTGAGGCGCCGTCACAGCTGTCGCTGTGAATGGCTTATCGGATGGCTACCTGCGAGCGGGCTGCAGGTGGCCGGGAGGTGAGAACCAAGGCCGTCGCGATCGACAGGCCTACTCGTACAATACGGGCTCCGCTCCACACCGACCAAACCTCTCGGAGCTAAAAGCGGGAAATAAAAGGAGGGTGGGTGAGGGGAGGGGGGGGGGGGTGAAAACGACAAAAAGGGGAATGAGGAGAGGGTTTTGAGCGTGCCCTATACGCCCAGGAATTGGGCGGGGGATCCGGAAACTTTCTTTTTCTGGGAGAAAAAGAAATACACCGGCAACAGTACTCACCATGCGTCGCCCATCTCTCCCTGGAGATGACTGCTCTGTTTATTTATTACTCACCATGACTCTGGTGCGCGAACGAATTTCTTTTTCGTGGGACCGCCAGAGGGTGGGTTCGGACACGCGCACACACACGCCAAAACACCGTTGCAAAGCCACGACCGACACCGACACCTCCCGCCCCGAACCCCCCCACCCCCACCCCCACCACCAGCCCCCGGCCCCCCGCCCGCGACGAGAACGCGAATGCGTGCACTTCTTAGTTGTTTTGTTTAAATTCTTCTTTTTGGAATAATCTTCTCTTTCGCTCGCAAAAGAAACGCGCCCGCCTTTCTTTTAAACGAAATCCAAAAACCTGCCGTAATTCGTCAGGGCTCTCCAGGGCTCCCGCCCGAGATCGCATTCGAAACGATACCGGCGGCCCCATTGACGGCGCCTCAGCGTCCCCCAAAACTCAAGACGTCGAAAGTGATATATATCGCGAGAGCTGCTTCCGAATGCGGATGGGATAGCCGGTCCCGCCACGCTGGACGGGCCAGCGGCTGGCACGCGCCGGCCACGTCGGCGGCGCGGCGGCCTCATCGCGCTCGTCGTCTGCGAGGCCACCGCTCGGCGTCGCTGCGTGCGTCGGCGATCGCGCTTGGCTGTGAGGTGGGACGGCGGAATGGTGCGCGCTGGCGTGGGGGTGGTGCGGGATGTGCGTGCCAGCAAGCCTAGTTTCACCTCCACTCACCCCGCAGACGCGCCGACGTGCTGCCCGAGCGCGTTTGGGGGCAGTGCAGCAGCTCCTCGCCAGGCGTTCGGAAGGTGCCACACCTCTGTCAGTTCGATTCATGCGACAGACAAGGCGCGGGCGACGGCATCCTCAGAAAGAAGCCGTCGCCCCCACACCACAGGAAGGAGCAGTCGCACGACTCCCACTCCGGCGCCCGCCCACCCCACCCCAACATCCCCACCCCACAACCCCGCCCCACCCCGACACGAGCAAGGCGACCCCGAAAACTCTCTGGCACGACACCAGGAACGGGACGTTTTCTAGATTTTCACAACAAAAGGCGGTCGCACCGCGCACGATCAACCATCCACGAACGATTCACACGCCACTCCTCTCCGCTTTATACACTGGTCGGCCCCGTGAACCTTCTCTCACAGAGTCTGCTGTGAGAGCCCCTTGTGTGTGATCTTCGAGCGCAAGGGGTTGGTTAGAGAAGCCGTCGCGTCCTCCGGCCACAAAATAGCCGCCGTCCCGAATGCGAATCCCAATAGCCAACGTTCCCGGTTTTGTGTTGTTTGGCTTCTGTCGCAAAGAGCTGCATGCCACCGAAGGCGCTGTCGAGGTTCGTCGAGCGCGACAGATTGGGGGACACTGTCACCGACGAGCGTAGAGCGCTGGTCGGAATCCGCTATGACGGCGGCATGGCATGCACACGAGCTGCGGCCGTATAATGGTTGGGTAGTAGGGCTAGAGGGTCGCTCTACACTTAGCCTCTGCAGCGAGCGAGCGCTCAACTTAGCCCCCGCACGGAGCCGGGCTCGGACTTAGACGCTGTATGGTCGGGGGCCATGAACTTAGACGACACAAGGCCAACTCCGGGCAAAACCCGGGTATACCTGCAAAAGTCCAGGTTTACCCGAAAAATGCCTGGACGCGTCCCGACCTTATGGTACCCCTAGGGTTCTGAGGGCCGCCCTTTTAAGGGCTTTTAAGAAATGAGGAGGTTTGGAGGCTTAGATTGCCATTTAAGAAATGAGGAGGCACGGGGGTCCCTCTTTTAAGACCGTTTAAGAAAATCGGCCTCGCCGGCATCCGTCGCTGGGTTCCGCGCCGTTTTCTCCAATACTGCCGTTATTAGGCACAAAAACCCGCCTCTGAAGACACATCTGTAAGTCTGGTGCACTGGCAGGAGCCATACTCGCATAGGGGACGCGTGCTAGCTGACTGTAGCAGCTTCCCGGCCTCCGGCGTCTACCGGGAGCCTCCCGGACCATCGACCTCGGGAGCTCTCCCGCACCGTTTAAGCGTTTAAGGCCGTTTAAGGAATCGGCGGCCCAGGCAGCCTTAAAGCGGGCCTAGGCCCCCGTTAAGCCGTTTAAGCCGCAGGCGCCCCAGGGCCCACCCTTTTAAGCCTAGGGGTACCCTAAGGTCCCGACCAACGTATTGCCGCGCACGACGCCATATCGCCTTGTCCCAGGGCCAGTGCGCTACTTGCGGCGCGCAACTCCTGCTCAAGTACGCGCACGGTACCATGTGCTGCCGCTATGCGTGTCTTAACTCTTAAGGCGGCTGCGGCGAAGCGGCGGGCGCGGCATGCCGATGGCAGTGCGGACGATGCGGTTGCGATGTGTTCTGCTTCAAGATCGTGGCGGTGCTTGGCATCGATGCACTTCTGCGATCCCAATCAGCTCATCGCAAATCTGCAGCGCAACAAGCTGGCTGCTGCCAACAAGGCCCTATGCTACCTCACGCGCGGATCGTTCAAAGAGGACCAGCATACAAAGGCTTCTGTGACATGCGTTTGTTTGAGCTTGAGGCTATTTTTGTGAGAACTGTTTGGCTTGAAGATTTGCGCTCAAGAAGAAGAGCAACGAGAATCGGAAGAGGAGGATGCTGAGGCGGCGATTGCTGAGCATGAGAAGGATCGATATCCGGATTAGAAGCCGCCCGCCGCAGGCGAAGAAAATTTGGGGGCTAGCGCCGTGTATCGTTGATCGGCACGGTCGGGGAGCCTGCCTCTTGGAGCCCCAAGGGCAAGGCCCCGTGCCACGGCAGACTTAGCCCGCATAAGAGGCTGCCGCCGATGCATCTTAGACCGCGTAAGCACCCCAGCGTGCCAGGGCACACTTAGACCCGCTAAGCCTCGAGGCTCAGAACCTAGACTACTACCCAACCAGTGTGGCCGTGCGCCGTGCCGCCGTCAAGCGTCATAGCGGCCGAGGCGCGGGACCGTCTCGGTGCGGCGAGGAGGTCGCGTCGTGCCCCGATTTCCGTCATCTGAGCCTCCATACCCTCTAGAGAATCGCCGGAGAGATCCAGCGGCCTGCCGAAGCTGCTGTGTACCCTCCCAGGGCGCCATCCATCCCGCTCGAGGAGGACATAGTGAAATCCCACACACACGCGACGAACGGACGATATGCTGGCAGCATGAGCATCCGCCAGCACCCCCGTGAGCTGACAGCCCCGCCCCCCTGCGCACTCCAGTACACTCCTCGTACGCAACACCAGCAAACTACACCATGCTCTCGCCGCCCCCTCTCTCTCGCTCTCGCGCGCGGGGAACCGGAGGCTCCCCCTGTGCCCACCGGCAGGCAAACGTGCCAGCAACAACCGCGCGAGCCTCCGGCCTCGCTGCGGGCCTCTCTCCCCCCTCGGCCCTGCTCACGCCGCCTCCTCGGTGGCAAACGTGACGAGCAGCGCCTTCTGCGCGACGACGTCGCCCGCGGCGGCGTGCAGCACGTCGACGGTCGCCTCGGCGGCGGCGACGAGCGTGTGCTCCATCTTCATCGCCTGCACAACACGAGACAGGGCGGGCGCGGCTCAGAAGAGGGGAGGGCGACACGCGTGCGCGTGCTCCAGCTTCATCGCGCCTCGAGCACCGCGACCGCCTCGCCCGGCGCGACGCGCTGGCCGGGGGCGACGAGCAGCTGCACGAGCTTGCCTGCGGGACAGCCGACACCCGCGTCTCCCTCGGGCGATCAAACAGCGAGACGGGCGCGGCCGCGCGCACCCGGCATCGGCGCGACAATCGGCCGTTGCA